TAATATATATATATATATATATATATATATATATATATATATATATATATATATATATATATATATATATATGTATATATATATATATAGTACCTAATATATGCCAGTTGTTGAAATACTAGTTCCATACCATATTAAATGAAACTCATAACACCAATAAAATGCGCATTTAATGCATTTCCCAATACTATCCCAGAGCAATCTCGACAATGAAACAAATAAAATGGATAGAAAGGATGCGTTCGCCACTTGCACCCTTCTTCGCAAACATTTAACCCCAATTCACTTCGAGAAAGGAAAGAAAAAAGAAGACTGAATAATTAAGTACACTTCGTAATGATAACAAAGACAAATCCCCATAATGCTTGAAAAATATCATAAATCATAATGCTTGAAAAATATCATAAACATAATTATATCCTATCATATACTGCTCTTCTCCACATACAGGCACATTAATAAAAAGATGATGAGGTAGGTTTAGATAAGATAGCTTCCAAGTGGTAATAAGCAACGCATCATTAAGGAAGGACTACGTAGCATTCGTAAAATAAACATTTTCAGAACTGAACAAAAATAAAATCAAAAAAAAATGCAAATGGAAAGACATCAGAATCTAAAAAAAAAACGCTCCAAAACCTGCATGAGATGCATTTTTGTGGTATAATACGATGGGATGATATAGGATAAAAGTAGGACGTAACAGAAAAATATTAAGAATGAACATATACAATTCACACCGCATAAAATTGCGTTAACCCGTAATTATTGAAGCTAAAGAGAAATATAACCCTTGAAAATTAACGACCTCTTGCCGCATGCTATAATGTATAAATAGTGCATGGTTTAACAAAGTGATGAATATTCGTTGAGATTGCCAAATTTCACCAGCCATATCTAAAGTTATCATAAAAAATAAAAAAAAAAAAAATAGAGGGCAGTAGTTAATAAACTGTTGCCAAAATGTTTAAATAATATGAAGTGAAGATAAGCACTGCTACAGTATTGCAAATATTGACATGCAATGTATATATGCGTTAACAAACCAAGTATGGTAGGGAAAACATAAAAACATGCGGCAAAGTTATCGTTTCCAGTAAAATTCTCAATAGCATAAAACAATTCGGATTAAATTAACATCGCATTTTTCCATCACACATGTCCTTTAAGAGTTCAGTTCAGTGTTAACGTATGCCCTTCTGGAAGCTTAAAAGTAGACGTAACATAACATCACTACTCATGTTATAAAACAAAACAATCAAATAAAAGCACCAAATAATGATGACAACAAAGAGGAGAAGAAATACCAAGTATATTATAATACTTATTAATCGATGGAAATAATTGAATTCTCATGCTTACAGCGAAAGTCGTACTGGACTCACGATATTGGCTCAATTTATTCGTAGCGAAAAAAAAAAGAATCCGCCTCATCCGCATGCATACAACAAAACAAGATGAAGGATCACCCAAAGCTAATCAGTCAAGGCCTAACTTTTGATGTTACGGTAGAAATTTGGCTTTATAACAAAGAAGACCAGTCGAAGTTTATCGTTTACACTTTGTAAAAAAAAACGTTAAAATCAAAATCAAAAAATTTTCACCATTTTCATTTTTACTTAATAGTCCAGTCTTTTATCTTTCAATTAAAACACTCTCCTCTCCCTTCATATGTCTCTTTTTTCCAACTTATATATAAATCAGTGGAAAAAAACATCCAAGAAACCATTTTTTGTTTAAGACCCACAACAATTATATCTCTTAAAACAAAGAAATGCACAAACATCCCATACATACACACTCACACACACACATATACTTGAAAAGACAATGGAGTAATACAGTAGTGCTGCGCAGTAACATTATGTTATATCATCCATGTTTGTGGTATAAATAATAGACACAAAATTTGAGTACGAAAAATAAAAAAAAGAAAAAACAAAAAATGCTATAAAAAAAATGACACCAAAATTAGGTAGTTATGATGCCATTTCCTTGATTAACTTCATAACAAGTTTCTTTCATAGATAACAAAACAAAAAGCATGTAGATAAGGAAATAAAAACAAACCTTAAAGGTAAATGAAAAGAAAAAGTGTTACAGTAAAGGAGGCAATATAATGATATTCAGCTTTTGTTCTTGTTGGATTACCACAATCAATTATTCCACCAATCCTAAAGATTGAAAAGGTTGTCATATTTATTTCATTCATTACAAAAAAAATTCAAATAAAAAACGAACAAACAAACAACCAATCTTTCCCCTAGCAAAGATAAAACAAAAGTGAACGCACAACCAATGTAAATCTTAGAAAAATATATTCAGTCTCACCAATCTGACAACAACAGACTGCATTCTATTACTCCTAGAAAGAGACCAGTCTTATATTTGCAAGATAATTTAAACTTACAAAGATTTCATTTCTTCCCTCGATAAATTGATCGGCCATCTGTCACTATGGCTAGTCAGAGGATAACTATTCCCTACGTTGCAACTTACACGCTAAGTGTTGGAATGTAAGGTTAAATTAACAGTTTGCATCACATGACAGTCAACACAATCATTGGTTACTAACACATGCCTTGTCAACTTAATCTTTATTTTTGCTTCAAAATCCTCGGGAAATAGTGTACAATATGTGCATAAAGAAAGAGAAATATGTGAATTGCAAATGTACAAACCTGTTGTGGAGGAGCACGAGCAGAGCGTTGCGGTTGATTCCACTGATTACTGCCTGGCGAATAATTAATTCCATTTTGACGATGTGATCCACTACCTCCACTACTTCCGGTATATTGAACACGGTGATCGCGACCACCAAAGCGACTGAAAATATTTTGACACTGATGTGGCATAACTCTGTTAAAACTACTTTGCTCCTTCCTGTTGCATTGAAAAACATAAGAAAATCCTCTTCCAGTCCACAAAATCTTTTAGGAAGTCGAGAAGGAATTGCTAATAGCTAATAGCCTGAACAGTGTTAAATCAAAAAGTTACAAAGCGCTCCAAAATATACATGATAGAAAGCACAACAGTAACATCACAATCCTATAATTTCGATCTCTTCAATGGATGCTGCATAAAATAAATTCCATCTGCATAATTACCTGCCTCCCTTCGTACGACCTGGTCGTGTTCCATAGCGTTGTGCATCTGCAGATATTTTTTCCAGCCATTCAGGAAGCTCCTGGTTTGCTTCAACAACTAGTTCTGCCAAATCGCGAGCGATATTCCGATTCTTATCATTAAAAAATGATGTAGCAAGTCCTGAAAATCCAAATCCCAAAATTGAATTTCTATATAATAAAGTAAAACATAGCATGAATTGAATTTGTAGCTATCACAAATTTTACATCGACTTACCAACATTACCGACACGTCCAGTACGACCAATGCGATGCACATATTCATCAATATCGGAAGGCAAATCATAATTGATGACGTGTTTCACGTTTGGTATATCCAGACCACGAGCAGCGACCTAAATTTCCTTAAAGTCCAAGTCTCGAAGTACTAAAAAAATACACAAAAAAAAAACTACACTACTCAATAAGAAAGTTCAGACTTCAAGATTTTTCAATCCATATATAATTCTTTGTAAAATGAGGACAGGGTACTGGGGTTATTACTACTGAATACCTCAGTTATTAAAACCATGCAGTGCAATGCGCCATCTTACGGTACTATTATAATCAACATTAGTAACACATAAGTTTATGTTTGTTTTTAATTTAAAGTAAAATTATTTCCTAAGAGATAAATAACACTAACAGCTGTAGCAACAAGTATTGGAGCAACACCGGAACGGAAAGTTTCGAGATGCTTCTCACGATCAAATTGTTTTAGATCACCATGAATTGCAACGACATTATAGCCATCTTTTTGTAAGTAATATGCCAAATCGCTTGCTCCACGTTTGGTTTCCACGAAAACGAGTGTTAATGCAGATGGCTCTAAAGAAAAAAAAATTAACCACACTGTATTTTTGGTTTCCTTCATCTACTGACAAATAAAAGGCTAAAATTACCGAATATTAAGCATTACGATGATTGGGTAATGCCTTAAGAAGGTAACATAAATGTCAGCTTACTCAATCGATCACTATATTTAATCTAATAATTAGATCATCAATGCCACAAAGATAAATGGTTTTTATACCATTAACGATCCAATTACCGCAAAAACCACCACAGACGAGGACTTAATATCAAAAGATACATGGAAAAAAATAGATTGATTCGACAATTATGAAGATGAAACATGCCATTCGAAAGATGCAAAATGACGTACAAATGTAAGCGCATTCGCCGTATGATACAAAAAAAAAAATTTTAAATTGATATTAATTTAATTACTATTAATTTTATATTACCTCCAGCATCAAGCAGATCCATTAAAAAGCTTTTTTTTTCATGCTCTTCTACCCAAACAATTTTCTGCATTATATTCTCCGATGTTGAACCAACGCGACCAACAGCTAGAAACACATAATTTGGCATCAAAAAGTCTTGTGCAAGAACTTGAATTTCTTTCGGAAATGTTGCCGAAAACATTGCAGTCACTCGTTGGCCTTTCGGAGGCATTTTTGATAAATCAACAATCTGAAAACAGCGAAAACTATTTACCAATATCGAAAGAAAAAAAGTTGCGGTAAGACGGTAGGTAAAACAAATGAGAAAAATTACCATAATAAAGATTATTTTTTAATATTTCGATATTATTATCCTCTTTAACCGCTTGCAATTGTTTCCACTGATATAAACTTCAGTATGAAGGATAAGAGGAGAATGGAGGAGATAAAGTAAGGCTCTAATGCGCCACAACTCAAAATATCTCACTGATTGCAAAATATCGAAAAGTAAATGTCTTTGATGTCTAAAAATCCCCCCTCTATTTTGCGTCCACAACTCACTGCAGTTCGCAAAACAAAAAACGAGATCACTCTAATTGTATTCTGGGTAGCCAGTAATAAAAATAACATACTTGTCGTATTTGCGGTTCAAAGCCCATATCAAGCATTCGATCTGCTTCGTCTAGAACTAAGAAACGGCAACCATCAAGACCAATGAGACCTTGTTCCATTACATCAATCAGACGGCCAGGTGTCGCAATCAGAATATGCACTCCCAACTGCAATAATGGAAGCATAAAACGTTGTAAACAATCCAATACATGTTACCTAAATCACTGTGGAAGTGCAAAAAGTACCTACATAAATTAATTCTAATTCTTTGTTTTGTTTTGTTTTCTCCTTTTTTTTGTAATAATTTTAAAAGCTCGAAAAAAAAATGAGAGATTCATGCAATATTCAATGAATGTAAACGAAATATTGAAAGGAATTTTGTATGTAACGTATCTGGCATGCTTATCATATTCATACATTCATGTCTTACGCATCACATCGATTATTTAGCCTGTTATCAGCAATGATTCAGAAAAATGTTTCCGACCATCAATCAATCCAGGCAAAATATTACAAACATTCTTTTCTCATTTTTTAAAGTACTTTTCTCTTTCTGGTTTCATAGAAACAAAGTGCAATGTTCATGATTAGGTATTAACTGGTCTACTTGTAAAACAACAGTTAGTGAAAGTCTTAGAACTTCTTATAATATCATTATTATGAGGATTCGAACTGCAGATAGTTACGTACACGCAATTTATTGATTTGTTCACGGTAATTTTCACGACCGCCATACAGGAGAGCCGAAGTAATTGGAGTACGATATGCAAATTTACGCGATTCATTGTAAATTTGCAACGAAAGCTCACGTGTTGGCGATAAGATCAACGCAGCCGGGTATTGACGTCGACGTCCGTTTTGCTGGGTGGTTGACTGAAATGGATTAAATATATCGGTAATTGAACCAAATGTATAATAAAGATAGTCTGATTCCCATATATGCAAGTAATGAGAAAAAACGAGAAACCTTATAAAGAGCATCTGGACCAGCTTGTAAGACGTTGTTGATCAGTGGCACCAAAAATGCAGCTGTTTTGCCGGAGCCAGTTTGAGCACATGACATTAGGTCGCGATTATTCATAAGTGTTGGAATAGAGTATTTCTGAACGGGTGTGGGACGGCCATAACCCGAAAGTCGAATATTCTCTTCGATCCATGGATGAAGCTTCAGGTCAGCAAATAGCGCTATCGGCGAAGGACAGTCTTGACCGGTTGCTTCAACAGGAATCTCTTCGTATTTATCAAAATTAATACCAGAATTCATTCCAGCAAACAGTTCTGATTCCAAAAGTTCATCACGTGGTAATTGCTCCGTCCACTGAAGCTGACGCTCCGGCAGTGGATCTCGCAATCCCGCCCAGCGGGAATTACTGTAATAAAACTTCAAAATCCATACAAATAATGAAATTGCATATTGAATTCTAGCTATGATATTTTCTGAGTTACTACGAATTATTTCTTCCGCACTTTCACGAGTACGACATTATTATAAATGAACTATTACTACTAAAATATGGTACCATTCAATTCGAATAGTAACTAACATAGTATTTAACTGTATTAACAGCATAATCATAGCTGAGCGACATTTCAACCTACAATTAATAGTACCAATAATGTATGGAAATCGATACAAATATTTTTTCACTCACTCAGGTACTGCATCGTCTTGGCGTCGAAAACCACTCTGATGCTGCGATCCCCACTGTTGCTCATCATGTACCGCTCTGAAAAATAAATTAATGACAACTTGGAAAAAAAACGGCAATAACCGATCTTGCTTCAGTATAAATGTATTCTTGTCACAAATTAACATCTCAACCGTAAAACTGATGTGTAACGTCGAAATATAAAACATATATGTAATGTTACAAATTATTTGATATGTTGCGAAATTGAAAACTATATATTATTTGGTATTGTGCGAAATCATTTAATATGTTCTAGAATTTTGTATGTTCAAAAACATCTTGAATTTCATTTTATATATTTTGATGTCTGTTATCGTTTGATAAGCTTAACTGCTCCATCTTTGAAACTACACTGTCATCTCTACCAAACACGATTGACAAATGAAAAGCTTTATTGTACATGGGTTTTTGCAACACAGTCTTGTGTCGACGATACACTTGTTTCTAGGACCTCTACTAGCTTTGTTAAACATTGAAAGCAAAAAATTGACGGAGTATTCCTTCCAACTCTTTGTAGATGAGCTGTTCAAAGCTTTGTTTTTATGTAGCAGTTGATGTACCGATTTAGAGTTACACAAATTACACAAATTTTGTAGTAAATTACGTGCTCACTTACAATAAATTAATGTTACCCCGAAATGATAACTCCCCATCAAAATTACCAATATCTACATCTATAGTACAAATCTCAAATAATGCACTGGAATATTTGGTCAATTTCCGCTGAAATGCATTTTGAGTGTATACTGTTAGGACAAGCAAACCGATGAAAGTCCCGCAAAGTGAAGTCTAAATCAGAAAGAGATGACCAAAAAAACAGATATGAAAGACCGAGAGTACTCTTGATGATGAACAACGGATAAAAAAAGGGTAAGAAATGTGACCACTTGAAAAAGAAATTATAAAAAAAAAAGTATTCGGAAAGAATGCAAAAAGTGAAGCGCACAGCTATCAAAAATCGATTTTGATTCTATTATACGAGGAAAACTTACGATGTAAGTCAAAATCAGGATTTCGGTATGAATTCGGTTTCAGCTTCTTTGATCAAAGCTCAAACCTGCTTTCGCCCCACTCTATAGAGATGGCAATGACTGATTTGTCTTGATTGTCACAACTGATTTATCACAATATGTCAGAGGCTTCGAATTCAATCATTCCTTCGAAACTATTCAAGCCCATGCTCAAACTTTTAATATCGGAATCTACGACTATTTCGTAAACAGACCTCTATAATGATCAGTTAAATTTCTATAGTAATTTTTCATATTTCGCTCAAAAAGTATAAAAATAGGTATAGGAGTTTGAAGATATGGGAAGAAAAATATTTTCAAATCCACATAAGACAAAGTCTTAAATTTTCCATTTACTGATTGTCGAGAAGAAAACGAAATATAAGACCGTTCCGTAATCAACAATCCTAGCATAACTGAGACTAATGATGCTACATATCATTTAAATATTATATCACGTAAGTAATCCCTCATTGATTAAAGCAGAGTAACTTTCTGACTTTGGACTTTTAACCTCAAATACCTATATCCAGGACCTTTAGTGAAAGGATAACATCACTGCTGATAAGAATATGTTGCTGCTCGAATACATCCTCAAAGGAATCTTGATTGGTTTTTAAGCTAGTTTCTAAGTTTGGTAAGAATATTTGAAATCAGGGGATCACAGCGATCACTAGTCAATCGTTAATGTTTCATTTTTTTCATGATTCATATTTCAGAAATTTAACCGCACTATTGGTAGCAGAAAAATATAATATAGAATAACCTGCTTCAAACCACTTTGGCTTGATATGTTACTTCACATCTTACGATATCTTAGGATTATTTTAGATGGTCGTTCTTGTAAACCGACACGATTCTAACCTTCGATCATAAGAATAACGTCCGGAATAGTTTGGACGACCACCACGAGTACTTCCGTGACCATCTCCGTAGGTACCTCGCCCACGTGCATGTCCATCACTTCGATTGAAACCACTTACGGGTTGTCCAAAACCAGCTCGTCCACGTCCTGGTCTACCACCCATGCATGGTTGATAATCATAGCCTTGCACAGGTGTATTACTATTCCACTGTGTCATGTAATCATTTTGCTGAAACAATTCAAGTTTTGAGTAACAACAGTCATTAATTCTGAGAGTGTTAAGTAGTAAGATTTAAATGCTGCGTTAAGCTGCGTTCTAGTTACGTGTTCAAAACGAAGGTAAGTAAATACATGATTACGCCAACCAGGTGTCAAACTTTAAGCAGGCTAACACATTATTATCCAGATAATAATATCAAAAAGAAATGTCTGAGTTTTGAACTCTAACATTCTTTGAAGACAGTTTAAAGTTCAAAAATCCATGAAACACAAAAAGTATAAAATGAACAGTAAAATACACCACCGGTTGCATGCCGGCGTAACTTTGACTTTTCCGCATTGGTACATTGCGGTCACTAAACGTACCACTACTTCCACGTCCACTACGTACATACTGCTGCGGTCCACGCGACCAATTTTCATATACCGGTGCACCTTCCGGAATCGTTTCTGGTGCTGCTGCTGCAGCATGGCGCATATGTGGAGGTACATAACGGCTTTCTATAATGATTATTTGCAACAAAACTGTAGGAAAAGAAAATTTGATAACGAATGAAGAAATTCCGTTTCTTGAAAACAAAAAAAGTTCGCAAACTTGATATCACACCAGTTTGTAAACTTTTCCTTGTTTCTTTAAGTATATTAAAAAAAAAAAGTACAATGAAGAAAAACAACGATGTATTGGTATGGTTTGTTTTATTTTTACTTCTTTTTCAATTTTGCATAACATTCTGGAGCAATAACTTTATTAAAAAAAAGTTTATTAAACAAAAAGTTGTAACAATGCAAAATAAATTACGCTTTATTCTGCATCGCTTATTTCTTAAATGATAAAAATTATTTATTTCTTGTCCGATTTTTTCCTGTAATTTTGCAGTGTTACAACATCTGCTGCGTTTGAAAATTTCGCTTATTTGTTTTTACATTTCATTTATTTTTTCGCAACATCTATTGCCAATTATTCAATTCTATCTCATTGAAGAATAATATTTCTCATATTTTGATAGCGTGAGTAGTATGAATACCATTCAATGAACCTGTCAAAGCATGTTGTCATAATGATAACGAAACGTCTCGCTAAGTATGAATTTTCTTTTTCCTTTTCAAACCTTTTGTTATACTATTGCCTTGACTGACAAACTCCAACAAACTGATACTGATTATTCACATATTCTACAACAAATTTTTTTTTTTTAAGGTAATGATATTACTTATCAGAAATCATACCATGTTGGGGTAGAGTGTCATTTGATCGTGGAGCTGGCGTAGTAGCGTTAGGCGGGAGGGGGAGTTGCGTTCCAGGCGCTTCCCCCCCAGTCCAGCCTTCGGAACCTGGAGCGCCTTTTACATATTGGTAGCCACTATCGAAATTCTGGCTACCATATCCAAAATTGCCACTATTCATAATAGTTATACCTGTAACAAATGTTCAATAAAAAAAGCATATATATCAGGGACCATTTTCGTCATAGAATACGAAGTAGGGTTCCATTTGTAAAGACAACTTATTATCATTCCTTCTGAAAATCCATCTTATCATTTCTTATTGACAACAAAATATTTCTTTTTTTAAAAAAAGCATTTTGTTGTTTCAATCATCATTCTCATTCTCACATTGATAACAGCATTTTATTTTAAAATACAAATTATCATTTCATTTTTATACACCAATTGTCATCTTACAAACTATTACCGTACTTATTTCCTACCATTATGATTCCCTTTTATGTTTATTATTTGTTTACAAATTTTAATTCATCGTGCTAAATTGATATCCAGTACGGTAGCTATTTATAATTCCGGTTGTTCCATCTACACGTACCAACCATTATTTAAATAATCGAAGGTCAAAAAACAAAATTTTGCCAGCAATGGAATTTGGTTTTCAATAGTAGCATCTATACAAGACTGACAACGATAAATCTAACCCTCCTCATGACACAAGCACTTTCCATAACCTTTTCCTATTTTCAGCAAAAAAAAAAATTTCTGGTAATTTGTTATTTAGAATATCGAAGCTGAAAGTGAAAAAGAAAAAAAACAACTTTCATACTGTCAACAAAAAACAAGTTGACGAAATGAAAACAAGCTTACTATGACAAACTTTAAATACATCACCTTAATGGATGATAGCTGAAAGTATTGTGATCACAGTACAATACAGTAAGTTAACATGAAAACACACTTTTTTTGACATGAAATAAGGCTACAATCCTTCCCTTATTTCATGTTAAATAACGCTAAAATATATGCCTAGTAAACGTACACGTCGTCACTTATGATAACTTATCGTTGATTACTTATACCGGTGATTACCGTTTACGAATAAGTTACAATTTTGTTAATCGCTGTCCCTTTTTTTTTCCTATGAAAAAACTAATTGTAGGGAAGATGTGACAGCGACGATGACATTTACTTATTTTAGTTAATCAAATACCTAATTAACATATAATAGTAAATAAAACTGTTTCGATCAACGATGTGTAAATTCAAAAGCTATGTGATACAA